AATAACACGGATGGGGCTTGAAAACACTATGCTACATGAAAGAAGGCAGATACAAGAGATGATGTGTTGTATACTTCTTTTTATAAGAAATATCTAGAAGAGGCAAATCTATAGATATAGAAGGTAGATTGGTAGTTGTCTAGGCCTAGGAGGGTTGGGACAAAATGGAGGGGCAGTGATTGCTAAGGATGTGGGATTTCCTTTTGAGGTGATAAAAGTACTCTAACTTGATTGCAAAGATGCTTCTACAACTCTGTGAATATCTAAAAACCACTGAATTACAGACTTTAAAAGGGCAAATTGTATGAGGTGTGAATAAAGCTGTTATATATAAAACAAAGCAACCTAAAACTATGAAACTTTTAGAAGAGAACATGGAAGCAAATCCTTGTGACCTAGGGTTAGACTAAGAGTTCTTGAACATGACACTAAAAGCATGATCCAAAAAGGAAAAATGGATACATTGGACTTAACTGAAATTAAAAACTTATGCTTTGCAAAATTTGCTGTTAAGAGGATGAAAATACAAGTCACAAATGGGAGAAAATATTCGTAAATCACATATCTGACAAAAAACTTGTATCCAGAATATACAAAGAACTCTCTAAATTCAACAGAAAGATAATCCAATTAGAATATGTACAAAAGGCTGGAACAGACACTTCACCAGAGAATATATAAGGATGACAAATGAAAATATGAAAAGCTGTTCAACATCTGTTGGACTGTTGAGCTGTTGCATTAAAGAAATGCAAATTAAAATCACTACACATGTTTTAAATGGCTAAAATTTAAAATACTGGTTAAGTATCAATCATGATTCTCTTATACAGTACTGGTGGGTACAGTCTGGAAATATGGCATAATCTGGAAATCAACTTGGTAGTTTCTTTGAATATTAAACATACTTACCACATGATCCAGCAACTGCATTCTTGAGCAAGTGTTCTAGAGAAATTAAAACTAATGTTTATAGGAAATTTGTACACAAATGTTCATAGCATCCTTATTTTGTATTAGCTCCTAATTGGAAACAACCTAAATACTCCTCAATGGGTAAATGGTTAAACAAACTGTGGTACAATGTTATAGTGTTCAGCAATAAAAAAGGAAAAATAATTATTGATACATGCAATGATTTAGATGGATCTTAAGGGTATTATTTTAAGTGAAGAAAAGCCAATCTCAAAGGGCTACATGCTATATGATTCCATTTATATAAGATTCTGGAAATGATGAAATTATAGAGATGGAGAAGAGATCAGTGGTTGCCAAAGGTTAGGGAAAGGGAGAGTGACTATTAAGGTGGCATGAGGGAGTTCCTTTACGGGCATGGAACAATTCTATATGTTGATTGTGGTGGTGGTTATACAAATCTATACATACGATAAAATGTCATAGAATTATATACAAAGACAACAAAAAGTAAGTACATGCAAAAACTGATAAATTTTGAGTAAGGTCTGTAGTCTAAATTTCCTGGTTTTGATAATGCATACTTAAAATATAAAGCATACTTTTCATAGAGTATACTTATGTAAGATGTCATTATTGGGGGAAGTAGGTGATGGATATACAGGACATCTTTATGATATTTTGGTAACTTGTTGATCTACAATTCAGAATAAGATAAATCAATTATATTTGTATTTATTAAGAGCAAACAATCGGGAAATAAAAAATTTTCATTAATACTATTCACCATAGCATAAACTACCTATAAATAAATCTAAAAAAATATGAAGGACTTCTATACTGAAAACTGTGAACTAATGTAAAACAAGACCTGAATAAATAAAATTAATAAATTTAAAGAGACTCAATGAAAGTAGAGTAATATTATTCTCATAGATTGGAAGAATCAATGTTAAGATACCCATTCTCCCTAAATTGTTTTATAGATTCAATGCCAGTACAATAAAAATTCAAGCAAACCTTTTTGAAGAACTGAACAAGCTGCTTTTTAAATTACACGGAAAAACAAAGCAACTAGAAGCCAAAATACTCTTTAACAAAGAAGAAAAAGTTGGAGAAAAACTTACAAAACTTGATTCCATGACTACTAGAGCTATTGTAACCAAGACAGTACAGTATTATTTAAGGATAAATAGCTCACTAAAAAGAATATAGAGTTCAACAAATAAACCAACACATATACAGTAGATTGATTTTCATTCAAAGCAACTAGTTCAACGGGGAAAGAAAATCTTTTTAACAAAATTGTCTGGAACAACTGGATATCATCATGGAAAAAGATAAACTTGATCTTTTCCTCATAAACCTAAACATAAAACCCAAAACTACAAAGCAAATACAAAAGAAAATATAGAATATCTTTGTAAACTTAGAAAGATAAATATTTGCTAGAATACAAATTTCTCTTAAAAGAAAAAAATCACAGATTGGTCTTTATCAACGTTAAAACTTTCTACTATCAACTGATACCATTATAACAATGAACAAACAAGCCAAAATCTGAAAAAGTATTCACAACATATTCATCTTACAATAAACTGGTATCCAAATTGTATTAAGAACTCCTACAAGTCATTAATTTAAAAAACAAACAAAACAAAACCAATAACTCAACTTAAAAAAAGAGCAAAACTTTAACAGGCAGGTCACACAAAAAATATGCAACTAACCAATGAACATATGAAAAGGTGATCAACATCTTTAGTAATCAGAAAAATGTAAATTAAAACATATTGAAATGTAATTTCACACCCATTAAAATGGCTAAAATAAAAAACACTAATCACACCAAATGTTGGCAAGGATGTAGAGAAACAGGAACACTCAACCGCTGATGGGAGTGAAATAAGTTACAATCATTTCAGAAACTTGTTTGGTAGTTTCTTATAAAGATACACATCTGTCTATCCAAGCCCCACCAATTCCATGGTAGGGTATTTTTTTGAGAAAAATGAAAATATATGTTTTCTAAAAGTACATAAATATTTAGAGCAGCCTTCGTCATACTAGTCAAAAACTGAAAAGAATTCAAACGTCCATCAACAAGAGAATACAGAAATATATTATATATTCATATAGTAGAGTACTAGTTAGAAAGAACAAAGTTGCAATACATGCGGTGACATGGGTGAACTCCCAAAACTTGTATTAAATGAAAGAAGCCATATATAAAAGATACGTATTACATGATTCCATTTGTATGAAATCTGGAACAGATAAAAACTAGCCTTTGTTGACAGAAATCAGAAAGTACTTACCTGGGATGGTGAGAGGAATTGACTGAAAGGGGCCCTGAGGGAAGTTTTTCAGTAGATAAAAATATTCTATATCTTGTTTTGGGTGTTTTTTAAATGTATATACATTTGTCAGTATTTATTGAGTGGAACATCTAAGATTCTGTATTCTATTGCAGTTAATTATACATCAATAATATATTTTATGGTAGCACACAGAGAAAAAGATGTGACAATGAATATATATATGTTCATGTATAACTGAAAAATTGTGCTCTACACTGGAATTTGACACAACATTGTAAAATGATTACAAATCAATAAAAAATGTTATATTGCTGTTCAAAAAAATAGTATATTTTAAAAATCATATCAGTTTCACTTCAGTGGTATTCCCCCAAATCCATAACTTCAGTATAATAATGAGAAAAACATCAGATAAATCCAAATTGAGGAATATTTTACAAAAGTATTCCTCAAAACCGTAAAGCTCAGGTCAAACAAGGAAAGACAGAGATACAGTCACAGAGCAGAAGAAATTAGAGATGAATGCAATGTCGTATCCTGCATTAGGTCTTGAAGGAGCAAAAGTAAATTCATGTAAAAACTGGTGAAACCCAAATAAAGTCTGGAGTTTGGTTAATAGTGATGGACTGATGTTGGTTTCTTAGTTTTGACAGATGTATCATGGTAACAAGATTTTTAATACTGAGGGAAAATGGGTAAAAAGTACAAGAGAACTCTATACTATATCACCTTTGCAACTTTCCTATAAATTGAAAATCATTCCAAAATTATTTACTTAAAAATCATACCATAAAAGCATAAGTAGAAAAAATTTCCTATAATAAACGCTAATATAAATGCCTTAAGGAAATGTATATTAATAGAGCAACTTTGGAAAATAATTTGAAATTATCTAATAATATTGAACACCGGTTTTGTGACTCATGCACAAAACCCATGAGTCAGCAATTCTACTGTCAGGTACATTCCCTATGGAAATCTTGTTAAAAAACAACGGAAATCAACCTGTCCATAACATAAAATCTGATATATTCATACAATGGAGTACCATAAAACAATAAAAAATAATGAATGATGGGTATATGCACCAACCAAGATGAATCTCAGAAACATAACAGCACAAAAAGGGCAGAATATAGTATACATGGAGTCCAAACACATGTAAAATTACTAATACATTGCTTTGCCATATCATAGTTTTAAATTTCTATGGTCACTCCCTTGTTTTATTTTGTCCATATAACACCATATAACACAAATTTAATTACGTATCTACCTCTTACACTTGTACTACACTAGGACTTACCATCCTCAATCGGGAGGGCCCAGAACTTAGAATGTAATGAACTCTTAATTAATCCTTGTAAAATTGTATTTAATTTCAATTAATTGGTTTGGTTAGATTATTTGGTTATCTGAGGATCTTCTTATCTCTAAATCCCTTTCTTCTGATAGACCTAGCAATTTTGCTTTTTTTTTTTTGAATGCCATTTATTTTCATCCCTATAACAATTCCAATATGGGGAATATAGATTCTTAAGCTAGAGACAGAATCAACTGTAGAAGGAGATATTTTCATTTAATTTTTGTTTCCTGCTATAGAAACTCTAACTAGTTTGAGTAATTTAAATTTAGCTCCATGTTGTTATCCCTCAAATTTAAAAATAACAGTGGATACTCTTACCAGTTTAAAGACAACAACGCAAATGACATGATGTCAAAAGAAATTATTTGAAAAGACTACTATAAAATATTATACTCTACCTGTAACTGGAATCTTCCAGTATGAAAATTTCGAGAAATAAAAACACACGGAGAATGAGATTTAATCTTTGCCTTTGATGGTCCTGGCCTGCATCTCCCATTAGTTACTTTATAATTGGAATTCTGAAATATTTCTCTGAAAAATATTTCATAAAGAATATTAAACATGAATCACATTATAAAAACAATTATAAAACAATTAAAATTATTTTGTTTCCAATAGTTCTACATAAAAGTTTTAAAATCAGAACAAATATATTATTACACATTTATTTTCAAAAGTGCAAATCAACTTTTCATGTTACTGATTTCATTATACCTTTTATTCACAGAATGTAAGTTAAGCTACTTTGTGGAGTTAATATTTCCATTTTGAAGATTAATCACAAGTTTTTCATAACCTTCTCTCTGGTTGTGAGATAATCGCCTTTAATGTCAATTAGTCTTTTCATAGATTTGTCTTTAATTAATTAATGTAAAGAAAATTAAATGAAGTGAAACTTATTGGCCAATTTTATATTTAATAATATCTTTGGCAAAAGAAAGTGGGAGGCAACTGAACTGAAATTAATGACTCACAAAGGAAGAGTACCTGTGATCTTTTTGCATGCAACCACAAACAATTTTGAGAAGTTAGAAACAACAAAGCAGCTAGTAAAACCCAGCTGATCAAAGACAGATAGTTAGGTATAAAAGGATGTCGCTTCTAATAATAATTCTAAACTTAGCAATTTAAAAATTAATGCTGAATGACATTTCGTCTTTCAGAGATACTGAAATTTTTCAAATTAATTCAAGAAATCATATTATGTTACTTAATGTGGTATTAACACAAGGAAAGCTACCTGCTACTGTGTGAGTACATAAGAAAGAGAATTAACCTGGTTAGAGAGGTCAGTGAAGGCTTTTCTGCAGAAGTGATGACTGAACTGGGCATCTGAAGAAATGGGAGCAGCTATTAGATAGAGTGTGGTGGAGGAGGGGAGTTGCAGGATGTAGGAGTAATACTATTCTAGTCAGAGGGAACATTAAGTACAAAGACCTACTGACCAGATTACTGTAGCGTAGCAGAAGTACAGAAAGCAAGAGGGAAAGTGGAAGATGAAACTGGGGAGTATGCATGGGCAGACCACATAGGGCCTTAAAAGTCATGTTGGTTTGTCTTTATCCTAAAAGCAATGGGAAGTCCTTTATAATATAGTGGGAACGGGGTGGAAGGGTGGGGTAACTTAATCAGACCTGTATTTGGAAAATATCTGGCTGAAATGTGGAGAAGAGATTAAATGAGGACAATGGTGAAGGCAGAAGGTCACTTATAACTCCTACTGTAGGAGTCTATGCGGGGGATAATGATAAGTTGGATAAGGTGGTGCCAGTGGTAATAGAGAGAAATGGATAAATTTAAGAAATTTGAGGTAAAATAAATAGAACTTGGTGATGGTTCATATTTAGTAGAGGTGGGAAAGAAGGGAGATTCCTTCCATCTTTCGAGGAAAACAAAACAAAATAATCCTTCCCTGACCTCTCATTTTCCTCGAGTTTCTGTCTTTTATGAACTCTCATTCACCAAAAATCCACTCATCCAGTTCTATGACTTTAGATGCCTTATGGACATCAATAACCTAATAATAACCTAAATCTTCAGCTCTGAATTCTCCCCTGAAGTTCACACATGTATACCTGTCTATTTGACATTTCTACTTGGATGCCTCATACGCTTTCACACTTTTATCCAAAATACAACTCCTAGTTTATCATCACTCCCTCAACTTGCTCCCTACTCTTATCACCTCCTCATCTCAGTAAATAGCATGATCAAGTACTCAGTTGCTCATGGTAAAAATGTTAGCATTAACTCTGCTAACAGTGTTAGCATTAACTCTGCCATTTCAATTATCTTTCCTTACCTCATCCAATCCATCAACAAGAACTGCTAATTCTACCTGCAAAATATACTCTAAATCCAACCCCTTTTTTTCATCTCGAATATTCTACTTCTACATTAGTTCAAGACACTATCATCTCTAACTTGGACTGTGCAATAGTCTCCTAACTTGTCTCTCTGCTTTCACTCTTGCTCCATTAAAATGCAGAATTCACTGAGAAATAAAAATCTTTGTAAGTTACGGATCAGAACTCTCATACATTGCCAATGGGTATGTATATTCATCTTGGAAAACTGTTTAGCCAGTTCTTATAAAGTTAGTCACACAATCTAGCAATTCTACTCTTAGGTATTTATCTAAGAAAAGTGAAAGCAAATGTACAAAAAGATTTATACAAGAATGTTCATAGCATCTTTATTCCTAAGGGCTAAAAAAATTGGAAATGACCCAAATGTCCATTAACAGAAGAATGGATAAATTAACTGAGGCATATTCATACAATGGGATACTACTCACTAATAAAAAGTATGAACATGCAACAGCATAAATGAATTTCAAAAATATTACGTTAAGTGAAAAAAGCAGACATAAAAAAGTCCAAATGACTTCACTTATATGAAGTTCAAGAGTAGGCAAAATTAATCTATGGTGATAAAAATCACAATAATGATTGCCTCTAGCTGGGAGGTGGGGAGTGATGCCTGAAAAGGAGGATGAGGGAACATCACAGAGTGATGGAAAAGTTCTATATCTTGAGTAGGGTTGTGGTTACATGGGAATATATTTGTTGAAATTCATCATCATACATTTAAAATATGTATCTCAAATTTTTAAAAGTGTTATTAAAATATAAATCGTCTATAGTGGCATTGTAGCCTTTAAAATGGGGATACTATTGCTACTTCATGGGGCTGTTATGAAGTCTAACTGAGATAATGACATATATAAAGCACTTAGTGCCTAGTATGTAATAAACCCTTGATGTTAGCTGTTACGATGATGCCATTCCCTTGTTTAAAACCAATGGCAGAAATAATAAAATCAAAACTCCATGTTCTAGCCTACAAATTCCTATGTGATCCGACCCCTATCTACCTCTTCAGCCTAATCATTTCCTTCTGTCACTTCAATTTATTCACACTGGCCTTCTTCTGTTTACCAAACAATATCAAGATCATTCCCACTTGGAGTCTCTGGACTTCCTAAACCCTTCAGCATAGAAAAAATTTCTACAAGGTTGTCACGTGTCTGGCTCCTTTTAACTCCTGTCTCGGATTAAATACTACCCACTTGCAGAGACATTCCCTGACGTTCACTTTGTTTATTATCTGTCTCCTTCCAGTGGCACTGCAAGTCTATGAAACAAGAATCTTGTCTGACTTGTTCACAGTTGTATCTTCTGTACCTAGAACAACGGCAGGTACCCAATAAATATTTGTTGAAAGAATGAATAAGTGAAAAATTGCTATTTTTCTGACTTGTACAAGTGGATAGATAGTATGTACTTTTTTGCTGAAATAGAGACTCCTCAAAGAGTGTATGGGAAGATTATGTTACAGTTCACATTTTTAAATATCAGACAAAGCAAATACTGAACCAATTAAATAATTGAAAACACCACATTTTAGGGCTGAAAGAAACTAAGGTGTCAAGTATCTTTTTTTCCATCTCTGGCAAAAGACTACATTTAGACCATATCAGAGCATTCTGTCAGCTCATTATTTATTTATTTATTTATTTATTTATTTATTTATTTATTTATTTACTTTTATTTAAGTTCACAGTGAAAAAGAATGCAACAACAAATATATGTATGTTAATGTATAATTGAAAAATTGTGCTGTACACTGGAAATTGATACAACATTGTAAACTGACTATAACTCAATAAAATAAAATTAAAAAATAAGTATGGTTGATTTACAATATTCTGTTAGTTTCAGGTGTATAGCAAAGTGATTCAGTTATACATATATATACTTTTCAAATTCTTTTCCATTGTAGGTTATTAAAAGATACTGAAAATAGTTCCCTGTACTATATAGTAGGTGCTTGTTGAGTCAGCTCTTTTCTTAAATATTTCCTAAAGAGTCTTTCTCTCTCAGTAATGTTTTTAATCTCTAAAGTAGTAGTAAAAAACTTAAAAATTTACTAGCTTTTTATTATAATTCAAACTCCTATCTTCTACAGAATAAAAGTGATCTGATTATTCCTTAAAATTTTAATGCATGAGGATTACTATTATACTACTTGGACTATTATACCACAATAACTTCTCTTTTCAGACTATTTTAAACATGTAAAGTTTTCTCTCCTCAATAAAATTACTGTAATTATTTAAGTTTAATATCATTTGAGAAAACCTTACAGTTATTTAAGTTGAACGCCACTTGAGAAAATCTTTCACTGAATTTTTTAAAGGAAAAGAAGTTAAATACTCTAATAAATCTTACCTTCGTCTGCAAATCAGGAACCACAGAGCTGATGCCAAAGCAAAGAAACCAATTCCCAAAGTAACAGCACCAGCAGCCAGAAAATAGGTTAAGTGGTTAAAAAAACCTATACAAATAAATTATAAAAGATTATTTCATGCATGTATCTTCATTTTCTATGTAAAATTAAATGACATAATATTATATAGTGTAGTATTAGGACATTAAGTAGGAGGTTGGGAGACCTGAATTCTGGCCTGTGCAATTCTAGTAATTTTCAAGACCATGAGTTTGAGAATTACACAGGGCCTCATGCTGATTAGAGCCCAGGGCACATTTGGCCCCTGCCAAAATTTGAGACTTAGGTTTTGTTTTTACACAGCTGTCACCTCCTTTTTTCTCATCTAGTTTTCCCCCTTTCCAGCCCAGTTGTGAATTTTTATGCTATTTTCCCAGTATCATTCTTTGCAGTCCTCAAACATAAGACACTTTGTATTTCAAGATTTGTATCATCAGTCCCCATAAGGACATGGATAAAGGTAATAAAGAACAAATATGAGGAATTTTTAGAGATTTTAGAAAACATTTTATTTCTAATCTCAGGAACAGTAAAAGATGATAGCCAAAAACTAAATAAAAGCAATGTAAGTAAACTACATCATAGGTTTATAACTGGAAAAGCCTATAGTAATTACATAACTCCTCACTTTGCAGATGATAAAATTGAGGCCTAGGTAAAAGAAGTAACTAAAGTAACGTTAGGCAGCAAATCAAAGGCAGTCCTCTGTTTTTTCTATTATTTTATCCCTGCTACCAAATATCTTAATTCTGGTATGTATTAAAAAGAATTAAGAATAAAAAAGACATGAGGTATTTATGGTCAGAGTGGTGAAGAATATCCTTAAAGATTCTAAAATCTGCTACCTAATGATAAAGCAAGCTGTAGAAAGCTTTCACAGAAGGCTGTATAGAATCTGAATGGCCTTAAGACAATTTAGGGATATATTATTTGGGGGAAAAAAAGGGTTTAAAAGTATAAAACTAACAGAAGATCTCTATGGGTGCATATAAGTTCCACTAAGGGTATAACATGATAAAGACTTTGTTGTTCCCATACTTTTGTTATTTTCTAAATAATTTCCAGGTTTCTACATGATGCCTCTCAAATCTTAATTTTCTTTGGGTTCAGAAAATCTACATTTTGGGATTAATTAACGATATAAAAAAGTTACATAAGGCTATTTATCAAAGTGATAGTTGTAATACAAAAAACCCTCTAAATGCCCCACATAAAGGAGTCTATTAAATAATTATGATGGTGTTATATTTGAAAAAATATAGTATTCTTTGATTATTTAGTGCAGGATTTCTTAACTTCAGTACTACTGCTATTTTGAACCAGGTAATTTGTTGTGAGGGACTGTCTTGTGCATTGTGCCAGAGATATCTCCAGGCATTACCAAATGTATTCTGGGGAGCAAAATTGCCCTTGGCTGAAAATCACAGACATTGTGGTATACGGAAATACCAGACAGCATTAAATGATAAAAGCAAGATAGATAAAACTCATACCTAAAAAATTATAAGACACAGTTGTATTCAAATATAAGATAAATATCTCTATGGACAAAAGAAGAAAAGCAACAGAGAACTAAGCAGTAGTTAAAAATCACAGCCTTGCTAGGCACTGAGATCTGGAGGCAGGAATTAACTACAAAAAGCAGAGAAAATCAATGAGACAATATCCAAACCAAGCCATCCTCTGGCATAGTGAAATGGCCAATTGAAAAAAGGACCAAGAAAGAATCTTGGAATTATAAATTAAAAAAATTTAAGATGGAGTAAACTTTTTTAAACACAAAGAATTAATGAAATGAAAGACAATACTGAGATTCACCCACTTAACATAAAGAAATGAAAAATCTGATAAAGAAATTGAGACTTGGAAAAGATTGAGTATATAGCATAAAAAACTAGCAGGGGTTCCAAAAGAGAGAACAGAGAAGTAACAAAGCAGTTAAATTCAGAGATGCAGGCTAAGGCTTTTTCTTAAACAACATTTTAAATTTACACGTAGTAAAATCCATGTGTGTTTGTTTGTGTGTGTGCATGTGTAGTTCTATAAGTTCTGAAAAATATACAGCATGTTTAATCACCACCACAATCAAGTTACAGAACACTTTCATCACCCCAAAACATTTTCTTGTAGAGCCTCTTAGTGGTCAAGCACTAACCGCTGGTAACCACTGAGTATTTTCCATCCCTGTTTTCTATCCTTATAGTTTTGCCTTTTCCAGAATTTCATATAAATGGAATAATACAGCATGTTGTCTTTTGAGTCTGGCTTTTTTAACTTAGCATGATGCATTTGAGATTCATCCATGTTTTCGCATGTACCAGTAGTTTGTTCCTTTTTATTGCTAATATTCCATTTTATAGATCTATCACCATCTATTCCCTGGCTGAGAAACATTCAGTTGTTTCCAGTTTGGGGTTGTTAGGTATAACTATACCATACACTTGCATACAGATGTTTAAAGTTTTTATTTCAGTAGGGTCATGTAGCAAGAATATATTGAAATTTGTAAGAAACTATCAAACTGCTTTCCAAAGTGGCTGTTTTGTGTAGTTTTCCCACGAGCAAAAACAGTTTTAGTTGCTCTATATCATCACCACCAATTGGTATTGTCAGTTTTGTTTCAGCCATTCTAACAGATGTGCTGTGGTATCTTACTATGGTTTTAATTGGCATTTCCTTAGTAAATAATTACGTTGAGCATCTTTCTATGTGCTTATTTGCCATCCATATATCTTCTTTAGTGAAGTATTTGTTTACATCTTGGCTGCTTTTTTAGAATTCTTTATATATTCTGGATACAAGACCTTGGTCAGATATGTGATTTGGAAATATTTTCCCCTAGCTCTGACTAGTCTTTTCAATCCTCCTTACAGTGTCATTCACAGAGTAAAACATTTTAATTTTTAGTAGTGTCCAGTTTATCAACTTTTTTCTCTTATGTACTGTGCTATGGGTCCTATCTAAGAACTCTTTGTCTAACCCAGGTCACAAAAGATTTTCTTCTACATTTTCCTATAAAACGTTTATATTTATGTTTTACATTTAATTTGCGATTCATTTTGAATTGTTTTTTGCATAAGGTATGAGGCATGGGTCTAGTTCTTTCTTTTTGCATATGTATGTGTAGCCAGTGGTTCCAACACTATTGAAAAGACTACCTTTTCTTCATAGAGTTGCTGTTGTACCCTTGTCAAAAATCAATTAGCTATATTTGTGTCAGTTGATTTCTGGACTCTCTATTCTGTCCCCTTGATATACATTGTCTATCCTTTCACCATTACAACAATAACAATAATCTAATATTTATACAGCAAATACCATATGCCAGGCACTGTTCAAAGTGCTTTATATATGTTAACTCATTTAATTCTCATAACAACTTTATAAGTACTATTATTTCCCCACTTTACAGATGAGGAAACAGATGAGGCAAAAATGAGATTAAGTAACTTGCTAAGAGGCATACAATCAATAAGTGAGGAAACAACAGTAATTAAAAAATCGCTAAGGTCTATCATTATCTAGTAGAGACACTGAATATCTTTAGATTTTATCAGAAAAACAGGATGACTGCTAAATATTTAAGGATGTCATAAAAGAGAATATCTAATTGTCCAATAAATATACAAATCCTAATAATCATATAAGTGTAAATTAAACCACAATGAATTAATATGACAATCTATATGATGCCTAAAATGAAAAAGACAGAAAATGTCAAGCGTTATCAAGGAGGCAAAGTAACCTAAACTCTCACTCACTGTGGGAATGTAATTTTGTACAATACTTTGGAAAACTGTTTGGCACTATTATTAAAGCTGAAAATATATATACCATATGACCGAGTAATTCTTAGACATATACCAAACCGAAGTACACACATGTGTTCACAAAAAATACATACTAGAGTGTTGATATTATATCACCCTGCTTCTTTGCCTTTAATAAATACTACCATAAATAAACTTCTTTACTTACTGGTTTATTATCTATTATCTGTTTTCCTCTACCAGAAGATAAGCTTTTTTTTACCCCACTATGGTATTCTCAGAGTTTAGAATAATGGCTGGTTACTGAAGAAATGATTGTCTACTTGATGAATAAATGATAGGCACTGTGCTAGATGCTGGTATCACAAAAAATGTATAATACAGGAAGGTCACACATGTAGGAAGGTCACACATGTAAAAAAGAGTAAATGCATTTAAAAAGTGTTATAGGCATTATAATGGAAAAAATGAATACAAAATACAGACACAAGAAGATTTATGAAATGATAATTTTTTTTAAGCTCCATAGTTTAGCTAAACATTGTTTGAGAATTTTCTATTGCCAAACCCTTGCCAAGAATTGGTGATTCAATGATAAGTAACATATGGTCACAGAGTTTACAATCTGGAGGAGACAAAACATTCAAATGGAATATTCATTAAAATATTTTAACTGCTATGATAATGACCTGTTGACAGCACTAAACATCAGAGGCAGTTTGAACAGATTTTTAGAGAACATTTCAGAAACAGTTTTTTAGAGAACATTTGAGATGAATCTTACAAAATGAGTAAGAGATAGCTAGCCAAAGATATTAAGTCTTAAACCAGGTTATGAGACTTCCATCTTAAGATAAACAAAACTCTCTCTACCCAGAGCACCCTCCAGCTTACAACTGATCCTTTTCTTACCATTCGCAGCCAAAACTCTTAAAATGAGAATTTCTACTTCTTCACAACTTCTATTCCCAAGGTCATTAATAAATTTATTAACACAGAATTGAAAGGTCACTACTGACCACTCTTTCTCTCTTACCTTGGCATCAGTAACTTAAATCATTAGATTTTCTTCCCATTTCTCTCTTTAACTTTATTGCCTTTGTAGGACTCTTTTCCTCAGTACATCTATCCTTTAATCTATCTATCTATATCTAGGATATATAAAGAGATATAGATATAGATATAGATATAGATATAGATATAGATATAGATATAGATATAGATATAGATATATAAAGGATATGGATAGATACAGACATAGAGATAAAATATAGAGAT